AGCTATCCTAGCTCGTGGACAATCAATGAACTTAGAGTTCATCGAATGTGCACATGTTACACGAGCACATTTAATCGAATGTCCGAGCAGTTAATTGAGCTAATCCATGACACTTCGCACTATTACTATCTTACAATAAAAACGAATTGAAATATAAATAATACTAAAAATGCAATGCATTTCTTTGCAATATATTTCTATTTAATTTATATTGAATTATATCAAACATTTGAAAGACAAAATCGCGATAGTGCGAAGTGTTAAACCTGTTATACTTAAAACTAAGTATCAAATTCATCAAAGATTTTGCGAATTTCATTTCGATTATATCTCGAACGAGATAGAATCGAAGTAAAAATAAATCTTTCAAATGGTTGCAAATACCTTTGAATCATGATACATATCAAATATTCTAGAATTGTCACAAAATAAATTTACGAGTTAAGCATGATAGAATAAAAAGATAAAATTTTGTGACAATTCTATATAAAAAAACCCGAAGATGGGACTTGCACTATTAAAGTGCAAGAGTACCATGTGCTTTTCCGGGGTCCTACATACTTAAAATTAAAGTTTCACATTCACTCAGTAAAAAACACATGCATACCCACCCATTCACTCCACGGTTCTCACACACTCCACCAGGGTGCAAAAGCCTACACTAGAGAGCATGCCCCGGGGCACCTCCGTCACCCTAGTTCAACCGCGTTTTCTAAACTTATATTCTAAAAGGTTACGTACTAGTTGCTGTAATCGTCTGCCAAGGCTAGTGATTATTGCAAATAAAACTACTGCAAAAATACAAGTATACACTAGTATATATATATGCATACTAGTTATATACGTGTATGTTTCCACAAATAAATGTGGGTGACTCTACTATGCAAAACGATTATTAAAAAAAAAAAAATCGTATCGCACGCGTGACTTTACAAGTTATTTTTATTTTAATAACTTTTTCAAAAATACGCGGTATTACACGTATCGCGAACGATGTACAATGCACCACCTACCACGCACACACAGGTGTAATGTACACCGTGCAATCACTAGCACAATGACAGCCGCCAAAGGAAAACTTAAAAACTATAACCCATGCAATCTTTTTCTCACCCATACGTGTAACAC